CAAGTATATTTTAAGTTAGAAATTATGCATCATATGGTGATCTAACATAGCCCTACTGCTGTTTGTGCCGGATGGAGAGTTATACGCAATCGTCCCGGGCTTTCACTCATGCAGGAGCGGATGTTCCTCGCTTCGATACCCGGTTGATCTATTGGTCCCCGTCGGATCCGGGGTGGTTCAAAGTTAATACCGACAGTGCCTTTGATTTTTCATCGGTCTTAAGTAGTGTCAGTGGTCTTATTCGGGATGCTATGGGTGATTGGTCTATGGTTTTTATTATGAATATAGGTCTCTGTACCATCACCGGGATTGAACTGTGGGGTCTTTTTCAGGGTCTTCAGCTTGCGTGGGCGAAGGGTTGTCGTCAAGTTGTTGTGGAGGTTGATAGCCAGAGTGTAGTCCAGATGATCTTTGACCACAGTAGTGTTTCCGAAACCCATGCGGCCTTGGTGCTGGCTATTCGTCTCTTGCTTCAGCGGGAGTGGTCTATTTGCCTTTGCCATGTACATAGAGTGGTCAATTTTGCGGTCGTTCCATTTGGCGAGCTTAGCTTCTTCATTCCCGATTGGTCTTCATGAGTTGGTTGTTCCTCCCCCGAGTTTGGGGGCTTGGCTTGAGCCCGATATCATCGGAGTTTTTTTATCCTCGACGAGTTCTAGTTTAGCTTTTAGGCCTACGACCTCCTTCCATGTACACAAAAAAAAAAAGAATTGTGTGGGCAATGTGGAGGTGTAAATCTAGGTAAAGATGTTAAACGGTTTTTTGCCTGACGGGCCGGCCCGTTTAGCCCTGAAAAAACAGGGTTAGGGCTTTTTATTGGTAACCCGTTTAAATCAGGGCTTTTTAGGCCCGAACCGTTTAAACCGAAGCCTGTTAGGGCTAGCCCGAAACCCGCTAGGGCTAGCCCGTTTAACTTGAGTTGGGCGTTATAAATGTTTGCAGCAAATAAGTAATATGCTCTTAGATTCATTGTATATTACAATTTTGCTATTCCACTTCACATGTAAGTATGAGGTGTAACAAATTATAATGATTTTGAAAGATAATTATTAACAATATTCTTATTGTACTCCACACCAAAATATTTAAGTCAATCAGAACGACTAATAGGAAATAAATGAGACAAAGACCTAACACATGAAACATAGTGATAGAATATATAATGATATAATATCGTAAAAAATCCAAAGCGTACAAAATAAGTAATAAAATGGTAATTGTAAGTAATAATTCGAATAGTTTTTTTTTGGAAAAAATGTTATTTAAGAGTTTGTAGTGTGTGTTCATATATGATGTGTAGTTGTATATATACAGTGGTAAATACCAAATAGCCGTTGAAAGCAATCGTTAATTAGTCGTTGTAATTTTTTATAAATTTTTATTTATATTTTTGATATTTTTTGATACATTATTATTATTATTATTATTATTATTATTATTATTATTATTATTATTATTATTATTTTAGCCCGCATAGCTCGTTTTGCCCGTTTTGCCCGAAGTCCGCTAGGGTTAGGGTTAGGTCCTTTTATTGGTAGTCCGTTTAAATTCGGGCTTTTTAGGCCCGGATCGTTTAGCCCGAAGCCTGTTAGGGCTAGCCCGTTTAACATCTCTAAATCTAGGTATTAATTATTATCTTAAAATATCATTATCTATTTTTTTAGTACATACAACAACATAACACAACATCCGAACCACTTCTTATCTCGACCAATCTAACTATAAGCTATACTTGTGGTTATACGAGATATCGTCAATGGGATTGGATTTTAGTTGAAGTCAGGCTATATACATGCACGAACAGAGGCACCAGCAATGTGTACGAATACAATGGTATGCGGATGAACGGTAACATGCTTTGAAGAAGCTACTCGAAGGGGCTTAAGTGCAGGTATAGTGCCGTTTGAGTCGACACTTAATGCCTTGTTGTTGAGCAAAACCGTGCGGCTCTGTATGTTCCTATCCATCGGGCTCAAGTGGTATTCTTCTCTGTACAGTTTGTCACCAACAAATTTCGAATTCTCTTTCGAGCTATGCGGATGAGTAGTGTTGAAGTCGAGCTTCACATGGACTTTTGTTTCGCCGTCGAGGTTTATTAGTAATACCGTGATTCCTTTCTGTGGTTTGTATGTGTCAGAAGTCAGAACAGAGGTCAAAGGACCAATTTCAGATTATTAGATGAAAAAATGAGGACTATAAAAGTGATTTTTGCCAAGTATATCGACTTACGGATGGTTTTGCGCAATGGGCGTAAGCTCGAATGCTCTTAGTCCCTTTAAATCTTGTACGAAGAACTTTTTTCCCCATCAAACGGTGCCAAAGAAGTGCGCTGCAAAATACGACCGGCTAAATTTATATCCGAACATTCGGCAAAAGACGAACAAAAGGAAAATAAACGAGGAATTGTTCGATTTTTGGCTACAACCTGTAGTAATCTGGATTTGGAGCAAAAGTTGTGGTGTTGAGCAAGCCATAGTTACCACCGACCAATGTCTGCCTGCAGTACACCTTGGTGTCGTAAATCGACGCAATCCCAAGGCTATCCAAATACCTATTTTGTTCGTTCATTAGCAACAATAAGAACATATTTTAATTAGTTAGTTATATGATGCATATAGAAAATGGACGAGAGTTTAAACGAACTTGCCCGCCTATAATTTACCAGAAACTGAAGAGGAACGTGTTTGTGATCCCATCACGGCCGCTGTTGTACACTCCTCCCGACTCACCAATCCAGGCAACTGTCGAGGTTCCAGATTCCTTGAGAATCTTATAAACGCCTCTAAACACTTCAGCTCCTTCATCAAGAGCCGTTGCATTTAGAATTCTGTCCATGAGGTTCGTGTCGGCCCCTACAAATTATTAAAATGAAACTTAATAATGCTCAGAGTCCGATTTTTCCTTGAGTACCTTCCTTTTTTTTTAAAAAAAAAAAGTACGAACCAGCCAAGTAATTTTTGCTTGTCGAGTACCTGAGCCGACAGTGTACGTGTGGTGGGTGATCACGTCCAGTATCCCATTCATCTTGGGTATGTAGCTACTGAACCAGCTGGGTTCGAATATTCCTCCGGGTGCAATGACCAGCGGCTTATCACGGGACCCCTTGTAAATCTCTTGTATTACATCTCGGAGGACAGATGTGTCGTGCACGTACGGATTGACGCCGATTGCCACCCCTAATATTGGCCGTCCTCCTAATTCATTCCCTAAAAAAGGAAAAAAGAAGAAGAAAAATGAGTCTATACTCTATATATACCAGAGTTATACATTTTGGTATAAAATGCACTCACAAAAAAGGAAAGAAAATACGTTAACTGCAGTTAGAGTCGAGTAATTTCTTACCAAGCTCCCATCCGTGGATGTTATAACCTTTTTCGGCTGTATAACGAATGAGTGATGCTGCATTGGTCGGGTCCCAAGGACCCG